GAGAGAGAGAGAGAGAGAGAGAGAGAGGAGAGAGAGAGAGAGAAAAGAAAAGAAAAGGAAGAAAAAGAAAGACAGACAGACCTCCGGGTCCACGGGCAGAGGTCAGCACAGACAACACTGCTGCCCTTCCTGGGAGTAGATTCGTACAATTGAGAGGGAGATTGTGTCTGGATGACGGAAGAAAGTGGTAGCTGCTACCAATGGTGACGTCGTTCTGAGCATGGATAGGGAGAAAGGAGAATGTAATATAGTTACAGCTTTGGATACTATATATCTGTAATAAGCTCTTGGGCGAATAATACTTCGACCCCCCTTTTATATATATATATTATATATATATATATATATAAAGTTTGTCATCTCCACAAATGGAAAATATCACCTCCACTATGGAGCACACACACAAAATTGTTAGATTTCTTTTTCTTTCAATAGGATACTTTTTAAATCAACATCAAAGACAAAGGGGCACCGGCCTCCAAAGACATGCTTCGGAACAATGAAGAAACTTTGGGTTTCCTTTCAATGCAGTCGATAGAATATTTGTTTAAACCACAGTGTTGCTCACACAGTCCAAGACTGTTTACCGGAACGTGAGATCGATGGATAATATCATCTAAAAGTCACTTTAAAAAAAGGGGTGGGGGTGGGGGTGGGGGCTGAGAAGTTAACTCTTTCGGCTCCACATCAGGTTTTTCATCCAAACAAAGCACCGTCTTCAAGAAAGGGTTGCGTTCACTCACCCCCAGAAAGGAAATGAACCTAAACAAACAAAAACCGTGTCTCTCCCTCTCCCCCCTCCCCCCTCCCCCAGGAACAAAAAATCTTTGAAGAGACCCAGGCAGTTTCCACTTTGCACTCAGCTGTGGCGGTGAAGTTTCTCCAAAACACTGCTTCCACATAAATACAATAAACTCTATGATCGGTAGGTCACAAGTGCTCGATAAACTTTTTCCTTAAAATGACAAAGGTCTGAGCAGCCCTTTTATTTCTCTTACAATAAAAAGCACAAATTCTTCAGAGTAAGTTCAGTAAGACGCAAACTTTCCCCCTCCCCACTCTCCTTCCATATCTTGCTTTACAGAAAATGTCTCACCTTTTAAAAAATCTGCAAATGCCATGAGAGGGGGAAAAACAGGTTTTTTGTTTTTTTTTTTTTTGTTTTTTGTTTTTTCCCCCCAAAGCTGCCAAGTTTGGCGTGCAAAATCTGTATACAATAGAAAGACATGCCAACCTTACAGACCATGCAACCTCAAGGTGTAGGAAACTTAAAAAAATATATTCATATATATTTATATATATTTATATATATATCAATGCCCGTAAAACACGTGGGCCCCAAAGTTTACAAAAAGCAGAATGGAATGAATACATGACTGTGACGAATACAAAGGAATGTTCTATATCGAAAATAAAAACAAAACTGAAAAACAACCCCCCCCCCAGCACCTCACCAGCAGGGGCTGTGGGGTTCTGCAAACCTGCCCCTTCTGGGTCTAAGACCACTGAAAAAAAGAAACCACCAGCCTCCTTCTCCAATCAGATAGAGAGACAAAAGTTAAAAAATGGGAGAAACAGAACGGCTTTGACAAGAGGCCTTTTCAAACCAGGGCCCACTGAACACCAGTGTGGGGGGAGTGGCCACTGGTAGACCCCAACTGGGTAGAAATGGGGTCTCTGGCCCACCTGCCAGGTTCTGCAGGTTGGGGGAGCAGCCTTGGGGCTTCTGCTGGTGGAGCTCAGGCACATCCTAGAGGGTCAGAGATGCTCGGGCTCCGGGGTGGGATAATGAAAAGGGAAAGACGGGGATAGTGGCTACACGCCACCCGAGCTGCTCCAGGAGTGCCAACAACGACCCCCACCCTCTCCCCGGGGGCCAGTAAAGTGCTCACTCACCAACCCTGTGGACCAACATTTGAAAAATGCCCCAGTAGCCTCGGCAAAGGTGCAAGTGAGAAATGGGGTGAAGAAAGTATCCCCACTGGGGTCGGCATGAGAACGGAGAGCTAAAGGAAGCTCTATCCATGGGCCAGCGGCGGGAGAAGGGGAGCCCCACAATCCCTCCGAGGAAAGGCCAAGTGCAGGCCATCCCCAGTCAAAGACAAAAACCAAAGTGAAACAGTCAATGCTTTACGCAGAATGCCTGGGGCCGAAGAAGGCTGACAAACCAAAGGGGATTTCGCTTGATGAATCTTCGCAACATGCAGTAAATAGCACAAAGTCCAAAAATGATAACTGGGCCACAGAAAGGTCCCGGTTATCCCCAGCATCTTGTAAAAATGACAAACAACTCTTTTTTCTGTCCAGTAACTGCTTGCAGTGAAGAGGGAACCCCGAAAACACTCCCCCTGCTGCTGACGCTGAATGCTGTGCTCCAGAAAACAGCTTGGAAAAGTCTGAGAGAAGGGATGAATGGGGGTGCCTGCGCCCATGTCTACGCTGCCAGGGCAGAGGAGAAAAAAACGATTCCTTCTTCCCCTCGGGCCCCCCTCCCCAACCAAAAAACCTAAAACCTTAACAGAAAACCAACCCTGTCTGAACAACCCCAAGGAGCCTGATGAGGTTTTAGACCTACAGAGATTAAGGGGTGCCCAGCCCACTTGGGTCTTTCTGCACTCAAACCTTGCCCTTCTCAGTCGGCTATGTGCAGATCTAAGGCTCGAGGATAAATGAAGAAATAAATCCTTTCATGCCGTTAGTGTTGATCGGAAAAGCTGAGGCGCAAACTAGACCAGGCTCTGAAAATTCCTTGGCTGCCCCTTCTCCGTGGAGGGGACTCCCCACCCCCACAGTTTCAAATTCTTTCCACAAGTCTGAATTCAATCAATTTTGGAATGAAAATGGTGACTTCAAGTGTCACCAAAAAAAAAAAAAAAAAGGGACAAGAAAACATAAGTTGTCCAGAAAAGTGAACTGTACTATTCTATAGACTTGAAAAAAAAAAGTACGTGTCAATCGGTCTCCTGTAGCCCCATACTCCAGTAATTAGCATCTGGTGCTCGGAGTGAGGGTCGAAACCAGATGGCAGAAAGAAAAAAAAAAAAGGAAAAAATCAACACTCCTTGTCCCCCCCTTCACCATTCTCAAAAGCATTTTTTTCCCCAATGGTCTTTGGAGAACAAAAGTTAAAATTCTATCTTCACGATGGTGTTTCAAGGAAGAAGTTGAGAAATGATATTTGTCAAGGCTGACAAGTCTTCCCCAGTGGAGCTGCACGCCAATAGCACGGAGGGAGGCCCCCCACGCGATGCTACGATGTGGAAGGTCCTTCACGCCCTTTGGAGAACAGGACTTAGGAAATAGACCTTGGTGGGTATTGCTCCACCGGCGAGACCCGAGGATCCCGCTTTTCATTAAATGCTCCATTTCTGAAAACAAACTCTAATTGTAACGTCTCCTCAGCCTGGTGGAAAGATGCTGACTGTACAAAAAATCAAAGCAAAAAAACCCCCAAAACAATAATAAAAAACCGAGACCTTAAAAAGTTTAAAAAAAAAATGTACAAGCAAGGACCGAGGCAAGAAAGGCCTTTTGACATCATTACTAGTCAATCAGAAAACTGCCCAATGGAAAACAAATGTAAAATCCACACAAACAAGATTTCTTCAGGATTGGAAAATATTGATACAAAATCAACAAGTATCTCTAGTTCTGGCTACCAAACCCCCCCCCCCAAAAAAAGAACCCCAAACTCATCATGTGTATGTGCGAAAAAGGGGGACAGAGGGCCTGTCAGAAAAGAAACCAAACAAACAGAACCTGAAATTAAAATGCAAACATTGAGGGTAGTTGCCCAGTGGCTAATGTGCTGGCGATCTGAAGCCTTTCCAATTTTCTCTTTCCCTCAGCACCGGTCCGGTTCAATTCACAAGGAAACCATTTGCTAGGGACCTTTAAAAGGTGACTTTTACAATCTGCATTTATTATATTTACCTTTTTATTTCTTCAATAAATGCATTATAAATATTTTATCAAGATTTCATAAGAATCAAGTTTCTAAGCTTGGAGTACATTTGGAATATACATTATACATACATATATATATATATATCTATTTATACCTACAGTTGAAGCAATACCTCATGCTAGTCTGCTCTCAGGGAAAAGCACCCCAATCTGAAAACTGCAAGTGTGTCTATTACATGCGTCAACAACCAGATGGCTGTGTTCGACTGTTGTATAATCAATGCCGGAAAGAAAACGCCTTGGATTGTTTTAAATTTGTCAGACTTCAAAACACCCAACAGTATTTGCCACTTTGGGGGCAACTCCCTTCATTTGTCTTAAACAGCAATGAAATGAAATAGAACCACAAAAAACAAACAAAAAACCAGACCGAACCAAACGGAACCGCCCCGCCCGCCAGCCCGCCAGCCTGCCCCCGCCCCAGGAGAGCTCCGAAAGCGCTGCAGGCAGGGTGCTGCAAGCAGGAGCCTGCGGGCAGGGAGGCCGGCGGGCGCCTTCAGGCCAGAGGCTCCCGCTCGCTCTGGGCTTGCTGGCGGAGCTGGGCTCGGTCAGCCAGAGGAAGTCGCTCCACACAGTCCTGCATTTTCTTTTCTTTTAAACTTAAGGCATTGTCCTTCAGACTTCTGAAAAATCAGCCACACCAAACCCATCAGATCCACTGAAAAAAAGGCACAAACTCTTCGTCTTCGGGCGGCTTTGAAAAGCTAAAGCCGACTCCCGCCGGGTGGGCGCTCATGATTTTTTCTGGTTTTGTTCTATTAAAAAAGAGAGAGATCCGTCTCCTTCCCCCCCCGCCCCCCCATTAAAAGCCCACCCTCACGCATCTTCAGGGTTTGCAGATGATGTCTCTGACTCCCGGGCAGGCCGGAGTCACAAACCCTTTTCCCCTTTTCTTTTTTCTCCTTTTCTTTTTCTAAAAAAACAAACAAACACGCTACACAATGAGTCGAGTGGTTTCAACGGAGACTGTGGAATTGTGGGTAATCAAACCGTAAGCACCAGTTTTAATGAAGTTTGTTTTCTATATTGTTAGAGCTTTGAAACTGGGTCTCCTTGGCGGCCGCCGCCGTCGTCTGTTTTCACGCCGCGTGGCCCATCTACCCAAGGCCGCCGCCGGCTGCTTCCTCCTCACGGTGCCCACTTTGGAGTGGAGTGGAGTGGAGTGGAGAAAGAACGCCTGGCTCCACACGTGTCTGCCGTGGGTCGTGCTCCCCGGCCGGTCTGTGGTCGATACGCATAGGCCGTAGATGTGTGCGGGTGGGGGTGTAGGCGCGCGTGTCTATATATCTATGGACGTAGATATATATCTCTATGTATACCGATATGTCTGTAGATGCAGAAAGACTTCGTTTTCCGTATCCAGAAAGACCAGTCCCGTTGTGGCGTCACACCTGGCTGTCCTTGTGTATTCTGGGAGAACACCCTGACAGGACGCAGGAGCGACAAGAGGAATTTTCCTGGCAGAGCTTCAAGACAAAAGACGCACAAACGAGAGACCAGCAGAGTCGGGCTGGGTGTTACAGGGGGGGCTCCTCTTCCATGGGCTCGTCATCTGACCTGTGATTTCACCCCAAAGCCATGGGAGGGGAAAGGGGCACGAAAGGGACACCGGAAGAAGTGGTGGAGGAGGTGGGGGAAGGAGGGCAGGAGAGAGAGGGAGGTGGGAAAGAGAGGGGGAAGAGCAGGGGAGAGGAGAGAAAAGAGAGAGACAGAGACAGAGACAGGGAGGAGAGAAGGAGAGAGAGAGACGGAGAGACAGAGAGAGACAGAGACAGAGACAGACACAGACAGAGGCAGAGAGGAGAGAAAAGAGAGACACAGAGAGACACAGAGATAGGAGAGAAGAAAGAGAGAGAGACAGAGGCAGACAGAAGTAGACAGAGATAGAGAGACAGATATACAGACACAGAGAGGAGAGAAGAGAGATAGAGAGACAGACAGGAAGAGAAGAGAGACAGACAGACAGAGATGGAGAGGAGAGAGAGAGAGAGAGAGAGAGAAGTCAGTTTAGGTTCAGGGTCACGGATCCTCTATAGGCATTTTACGCACTAGGTTTTCTCCCGCTGCCACCCAGCTTGCTAGCCCTCCCTCTTTGCCTTTCCCCACCGTGCTTCCCCCACCCCAAGAAGTCATTTTTTCCCCCAAGTCAATCTGTTCTAGATTAAACTTCCTTCCACATATTTCTAAGAGTTTGTCACAACTGGAAGCACTTAGTGATGCGTGCCTCTGTTTTCTAAAGTCAGATATTGGCATCCTTGCTGCCCCCCCACCCCACCCCGAGGCAGCCTTACGGCGCTGGGCATTATGCGCCTGGAAGAGCCACCAAGCCCAGTGAATGGATGAAAGAGGCCCCTGCTCATGAGGGGCACGCACGGTCCGCTCTCGACGTGATGAGACCTCGGGCCCTCCGACAACAGCAACGTAGATGAAAAATCAATGGCCAGCTGGTGCCCAGGGGAGAGCCTTCCTTGAGGCTCTCCGGACCCAGGAGGGGGGCAGGGAGAAGGGAAACCCACCTCTTCTCGACGTGCTTGACCCCCACAGACAACGAGGCCAGGGCGGTGACGGTCTCTGCCTCTTCGTTCTCACATTTCTGAGCCTCGAGGAGGGAATAGCCCACCGTGGAGGAAAAGCGCTGCAGAGAGCGCCAGTACTTGCCTGGAGAACAGGAAGAAGCAGCGGTTAGGGGTCCTCGAGCCCAGCCCCAGCTTCCCTCTCCCAGATCCAGGCTGAGGGCACGCTGCCATCCACAGGCTGAGGCTTCCCGAGGCCGCCCAAGCATTTGCAAGTTTAAAAGTGGCTTGCTTTTGGAACACATATGGGAACCACAGACCCAGAAATTTTATTTAAAAAAATCCCGACATAAAATTCACCACCCTCCCCCTCGCTGGGGCTAGTGGTCACCTCTGTCTGGCCTTGTCACTAGCTGTGTGACCCGGCTCAGGGAGGACACACCAGGGGTGGCAGAGACTGGGCAAAGGTGTGCAGGAAGGAGATGGGATGTCACAGACAGAAGAGCAAATGGCGCATCTGGCTGGAGACAGACGGGGGAAGGTGCTTCTGTGGCTCTCCACCACCCTAGGAGGGAGTGCCAATTCCTCAGCCTGGCATTCAAGGCCCAAGCGCACATAGAGGAGGAGGGGTGGCAGGGCTGTGAGGTGAGCAGATTCGCGGCATTTCCTACTGCCTTAGGCTCCTTGGCGGGGGTGGGGGGTGCAGTGTAACCCTCTACCTCCTGGCCCATCATTTCTCTCTGAGGGGTTTGAGGGTTAGGGGGCCAGCAGGGACTGCAGAAGATGCCTAGTCCTCCATCTTCTCCTGCCACCAAGAATCCTTGTACGCTTTCACGTCACCTCCTACTAGAAGCCTTCCTGGATCCCTCCCTCAGCTGTGTTCATGGGCAACTTGCCCAGATAACAGGTGCTCCCTGAGGGTAGGGATTGTCATTTCTGCCGCTCTAGTCCCACAGCCTAGTACAATGTGGGGCCTGGTATAGCGCAGGGCTGGGGCCTAGCGCGGTGCAGGGCCTAGCCCAGTGCAGAGCTCAGCATAATACTGAGCTTGAAGCAGCAGAGAACCCACTGCAGTGGAGATCCCAGCACAGTGGAGAACCCAGCATAGTGGCTGGGCGCACCAGGCAGTCAATGGACGCTGGCTGAAATGGATGCATTCAATAGTGTGCCCTGGGCCAGAGGTCTGTGCCTCAACCCTAACCCTCCTAGCCCCCACAGCCCTTCAGGGCCCAGCTGAGACTCCGTCTTCTCCCAGAAGCCCCTCCCAATCCCCCTAAATGCTGGCACTGTCCCTGTCGACTGTCTCCAGCTCATCTGTCCACTGCTGTCTCCCTCATTAGACTGGGAGCTCAGCGAGGGCAGGCGCTGTCTCTGCCTTTCTTTGTATTCCCAGGGCTTAGCACAGCACCTGCACTTGACTCTGTGCCAAACTCCTGACCCCTATTACCCTGAATCCCCTCAAGGTGGGTACCAGAGCTCTTGGGGGAGCCAGTGGAGGGCGCGCTGGAGCTGGAGAGGACACAGGGGCACACATGTGGGGGGGGGGGCCTGTCGGGCTGGTCCCAGAGGGAGCAGCTTGCGTGTGTAGTGACAACATCAGAGAGTGGGGTGGGCAGAGCCCGCACAAGATACTCACTGTGGGTTTCGATGACTTTTTCCATAGAGTGGATCGCGTTGGCATTTGACCTTTGCTGCAGGACCTTGTCTGGGAGAGGATCGAGCTGGGAAGAGAAATGGGCAAATGCAAGGAGCTTTGCGCTGGTGTCCAGGGTGGGGGCGGCCGGGGCCCCCGCAGGAGAGGAGGGGAGCAGGAGGGCTCTCCTCCAGCCACGGCGGTTTTTAACTGTTTACTCTGAGGAGCTGAACCGGCTTCCCCGGCATGACTAAAACCTGCTTCAGATATCTACAAGCTGCGAGACCGGGGGGCAGTTAATTCCCTCCCTGGGGCCTCGATTTCCCCACCCATAGGTCCCTTCCAGCTCTAACTCTGTGATCCTGAGCTCCATTCTGATTAAGCCGCTTTCCCTGGACACGAGGAGGATGCCACGGGCAGCGGCAGCTGCTGATGTCAGGGCAGATGGCCCGGACAGTCACACCAACACCTTGGGTCCCTTCTGAGCCTCAGAGCACACGGGTGCTAGAGATAATATCCCCATGTTACAGATGAGGAAGCTGAGGCTTAGAAAGGCTGAGGGGGGCTTCTCCAGAGCCCTACAGTTCATGTCAGAAGGTGGACATGAACTCAGGTGAGAGGGTTGGGAGGGGCCTTAGCAGCCACCACGCCCAAGACCAGCAGCCAGATCTGAGTTCAAATCCAGCCTCAGACACTTCTGAGCTGTCTGACCCTGGGCAAGTATAACCCATCCCCCCCAAAGGAAACAAAGCAAACCTCTTTGTGCCTCGGTTTCTTCATCTGTAAAATGGGGATAACAATAGCACCTGCCTGCCAGGGTCCTTGTGAGGATTACATGAGGTATTTGCAAAGTGTTTTGCAAGCCTTAAAGCTCCACATAAATGCCAATGACCTAATAAACCCTTTGTCCACCGACTCTGAACACGTCCTTGTTCCCCACTCTTCCCTCTCAATCTTCTTTTATAATAGGAATCTCCGACTGGAGCGGGAGCTGCTACCTTTGCTGGGGTCCCGCCACCCTGGCCAGTGGAGGTCAGATGGAGCTGCCTCTGTGTAGAACGGCTACCGTGGGTCTGGCAGAGTCCGGATGCCCACCCAATGGGGCACATGGACGGAGGCCTCTCTCAGACACATGCTCAGAGACCAGCCGACCCCCGGGCCCCTATCCTCTTCTGAGAGGCTGAGATTGGGTGCCACCCTTCATTAAACCTAGACCACTCAGATTCATCTGAGGCAGCCCCCACACTGTGCTCCTTGGGCCTGGAGGCAAGGGAAAGCACGCTTTCCCGGACAGCCAAAGAAAGCTTAGGAGATGCATCTGCCCAGGGGGCGCTGGGGGCGAAGTGTCTGGCTGGCAGGATCCTTCTGGATCTCCATTTTCTACCTTCCCTACTGGGCTGTCCTTTCTGTCTGCCCTAATGCCAAGGAGCACCCGCCCTGGGGAGGGAGTGCACAAAGAGTGTGCAGAAAGATCATTGAAGTCATTGATGACGTTTCCTTCTGGAAACACGTCTTCCCCGTCTGATAAGAAGGAAGTCCCAGCAGCTCCAGGGGCAGGAACTCTGAATCTCCAAAATGAAGTGGCCGTGTGCACACACCAGCAGGAAGGGAGGGAGGGAAGGGGAGCGGGCCAAAGGCTGTGCCATGTGGAACAGTGGAAGGCATGTTGGGTTCGGAGTGTGAGGATCTGGGTTCCAATTCTGGCCTGTGTTTTCCTGGGCAGGTCATTTCCCTTCAATGGGCCTCGACTCCTATTACTTTATTATATTCGCTATTCTACGGACGATTACACAGGTAGGAGAAATAACTGGTTTTCTGTAACTAAGTAATAGGATCAGGACTTAAGCCGCTCCTCTGGAGGCCTGCTGGAAGCATCCTTGGCACGTGTCCAGCAGCAGACAGGACAACGAGGCTGAGGAAAGTTATTATTGTCATTATTCCTAGAGCCCCAGCAACAACTTTGCCTCTGCGCTTAGCTGAAATAGTCCCAATGCATAGTAAGCATCTAAGTAATGCTTGCTGCCTGACCGGTTTAAGACAACCTTTACTATCAATGGAAACAGCAGTCCCAATCACAGGGGCTCGAAGCAAACCAGAGAACGTTCGCTCCACTGGGGTATTTTCAGATTTTACTTTTAATAGCTGGTCTTACGTCTCCTTGCTTTGTTTCCCCCGGAGGTGTGGGTCCTGCATATGATATCAGACTTTTTGGATATGTTGGTTGAGATGTGTGGCTGAAATGGTTTTTATGATGAGGGATGGCCTTCAGGGGAGGGGGTTGGCAAAGAATACAATGGGGAATTTAGGTGATAAAAATAAAAGATATCGATAAAATGTTATTAAAAGCTGGTCTTTATTGGGGGAGGGGGTTGGGGAAGAGAGAGGACCTGGCATTTAGGAAGATAAAACACCATCCAGGTGGATCAACTTTGGGGTCTAATAAACCTGTCTCTGTTCTTCAGAGGGTCTTTCATTAGCCACAGAGACAGTTTCCGCAGTCTCTAGTTCAAAAGCATTCACTTGGGTCTTGGAAGAATTATGAGGCCATCAGAGCCCCCAAGAAAATGTGTTGTAAAATGTGTTGGCAAATTCTAGGTGGAATCTGGCAGAAGGTTTTCAGGGTTTGTAAAAACCTGTTTCATTCCTAGAAATGCCACCACTCATGGGATCTCCTGGGAGTGGGGAGGGCTGCCTGGGGACAAATGGCCTTGGTCACTTCCGATGGCTGGTTTTTGCTATGGTCATCATTACCTCATGGGGACCCCAGAAGGCTTCCTCAGAAAGGACTTCAAACAGACAGACTAGGATGTCCAAGATGGGGCTCCCAGAGAGAAAGCAGAAAGACCACTGAAGTGATTTTCCTGCTAGGAGCTGGGATTTCTGACCATATCTCTACACGACCTCTTCCACTGGGCCATGTCTCTCCATTCACACAGCTCTGGTGGAGGCCTCATCCTCTCTCACCAGGATGATAGCACCAGCCTCCTAATCGGTCTCTCTTCAGTCCACAGCTGACAAAGTCAATTAATCCATAAGCATTGATTCGGCACCTACTGTTTGCTAGGCATTGCAGATATGATGACAGAGACAGAAACAATCCCTCCTTTCAGGTGCAGGTTTGACCAGGTCACTACCCTGCTCAAAATCCTCATTGGCTCCCATTGCCTCTAGGATCAGACACAAATGCACTGGTGAGTCTTCTTTCCTACTCTTCCCCTGGGGCACCAAGTTTCTCCTGTGGTCTTTCAGAATCCCTGGATTCCTTTCATGCCACCTTCCACAAGAAGCCCCTCCAGACCTTTTCCATTCTTGGTATTCCTACTCTCCAGACCTTCCTGTTTCTATGTCAACTCCCCAGCAGAATGGAAGCTCCTTGAGGGCTGCCTAGCACAGGCCCTGGCACACGGCATGTGCTCACTGGATTAGGAAAAGGGACAGGCGTGAGGATGTTTTAGTCTAGAAAGAGGAATTTCTGGGGTCAACTGATTCAGCATCTTCCAATATGTTAAATACTGACTTGGGACCTTAATTTTTCAGGATCTAGGCTATGGAATAAAGTAGGGACCGAGGCCTGTAGAAAGCCTCATGCTACCCAGAATCTACCACGGCAAGTCTGCTCCGGGGAAGTTCTTAGGGAAGGCAGCCATTTTCAAAGAGAACAGAATGGAAAGGAATGGCCTCATGCAAAGAGCGCTGGCCTGGAGGTCAGCAGACCTAGGGCTGGGACCAATTCTGTTATTAGTTAGCCATGTGATCTCTCAACTTCCTTTTCTGCCAAAGAAGGGGCACAGATAACTGAGGCACTTTTTCACTAGAACTCGGGTGGTGAAGACGGTATTGGCCTAGATGGTCCAAGATCTGGCCAAGACTTGGGGCTGCCATAATTCTCAATGGACAGTACTATCAGTATCAGCATAGACTGAATAGACACCAATTCCCAGGATGCTTCCTGGAACGTTTCATCTTTGCTGAGTAGGTCCCAAATACCAGCATATGTTGTGGGGTCCTTTCCCTATACACTCTGAAAACAAGCTCCAATCAGCTACAACTACTACTCATGAGTTAATTAGGTTTATATTCCATCACGGTTATTTCACAACTGGACCGAGTTCAGGGGCAAAATTCTGAAGCTGAATTCTGGGCATGTAGCAGACCAGAGGGTCAGTGCAAAAGAGGGGCGCGGGTCAGAGGCCTGAGCTCCATGGGGGTGTTAGCTCCTAAAAGCAACATGAAAGCCCAACCCTAAACTCTACACACCCCAAGAATGAGAATATTAAAATTAAGAGAGCATGGTTCACTGTCAGGCTCAGAGTGTATGTGTGTGTGTGTGCTTGTGAAAAATTAGAAAATGGACAGACAAGGGCTCTAGTTTACACTTGGGCTCAGTCTACCCAATGCCAAAACATCTGGTCAATTCATTGCCAAAAAATAATTTTTGGGCATGTCACAGCAGACTGGTTGACTGAGTGAATAATGCTTCCTTTTCAACCATCAGTGGTAGCACTAGGTTTTGGCTGTTTTTCTTTTTAATATGATTAATTATGCTAATTGTTCCCTAATGTGGAATCATCCACACATCCCTGGTATAAATCCAACTCGTCCATAGTGAAGATTTTGTATATTTCTGTGGTCTTTTCGTGAGTATTTTATGAAGAAATTCTGCATCAATTTTCAATGGAGCTATTGGTCTGATGTTCTCTTTCTTGGCTTTATCCCTCCCTGGTTTAAATCTCAGGGACATATTTGCCTCATAAAAAGAGTCGGGTAGCTGGCTTTCTCAATTGTTGAGAATTTTTGTAGCACAGCTATTGTTCCTACAACATCAGACAGACGTTCTAAGTCTGTGTGGACTACACTTGCTGCCTGTTCTTTTTAGAACTTTTTTTAAAGTATAATTTCACTTTCTGACACTGAGTTAAGGACCATTTCTTGTTTTTGTACTGTAGGTATTCTATATTTTATTGGTAATCTTTTATTTCCTTTAAGTTGCCAATTTTGCAAGCACAGAATTGTGTAGAGTTGATTTGGATAATTCTTAATACTTTCTTGTGCATTTGCCTTATTTGCTTTCTATTTTGGTAATGTGAT